AAATCTGAGTTGCACTGGAACAAGGCTTCAAGGTATACAATCTTTAGATTTCAACCTGGGCACAGTTGCAAGGAATAAAATCTGCCAAGTTTAATCCTGGGCCTGAGCTTCAAGGTATGAATCTAAGGTGTTCTGCCTTGGACCACATTGCAAGATGTGAATTCTTCCGCATCCATTCCAGAGCCACCACCTCAGTGTGCAAATTCTAGTTGTGCAACCGTGGGCCATGTTTTCAAGGTGTAAATTCTTCTGCATCTATTCCAGGCCCTAAACTTCAGTGTGTAAGTTCTAATGGGTTCAACTCTGGGTCAAACTTGCAAGGTATTAATTATTCTGTATCCATTCAAGAACCACCACTTCAGGGTATAAATTCTATTGAGTATAATTCTAGGCCAGATCCACAAAGTGTGAATTCTTCTACATCCATTCTAGGGCCCAAACTTCAGAGTGTTAATCCTAATGGGTGCAACCCTGGGTCATATTTGCAAGGTGTGAATTCTTCTGCACTCACTCCAGAGCCACCACTTCCGTGTGTAAATTTTAATGGGTGCAATCCTGGGCTGCACTTGCAAGGTGTAAATTCCTCTGCACCCATTCCAGGGCCAAAACTTCAGAGTGAAAATTCTATTGGGTGCAGCCCAGGGCCACATTTGCAAGGTGTGAATTCTGCATTAATGCCACAGCCACAAGCTCTGTGTGTAAATTCTATTGGGTGCAACACAGAGCCATATTTACAAGGTATGAAATCTCCTGAATTAACTTCGGTTTCAAACTTCAAGGTATGAAGTGTTCTGAATTGAACCCAGGGGACAAAAATTCAAAGCAAGACATCTTTAATGGTCAACCTTAGACCATGTTTGCAAGATTTAGAATCTGATTTGACACCAGGGTCAAAGTTTCTACGTGTAGCACCTTTGGAATGCAACCCTGGGCCACAGGTGCAGTGTGCAAGTTCTTCTGAGTTGAATCCAGGGATAAAGTTACGATGCGGTAAATTCTATGGAGTGCAAACTTGAGGCCACACTTGCAAGGTGTAAAATCAGGGTCAAAATTTCAAGTTATGAAATCTGAGTTGGATCCAGGGCCAGAGCTTCACAGTATAAAATCTGTTATGTTCAGCTCTGCGCAACATTTACAAGATGTAAAATGTGAACTGACTTCAGGGACAAAATTTCAAGATATAACACCAAAGGAGTTCCATCTCTGGCCCACAGCTGCAAGGTATGAATTCTTCTGGGTTGAATTCAGAGTCAGAATTTCAATGCATAAATTCTATCAACTTGAATCCAGGGCCACAGATACGAGACATGAAGCCCTCCTGAATTGAACCCTGGGTCAGAATCTCAAGGTATGAAATCTTATTCTGTCAATCCCAGACCACACTTGCAAGGTGTGAAATCTTCTGAGTTAAGTCCAGGGACTAAGTTTCAAGGAGTCCAATTTTGGGGGAAGCACCTTGGCTCACAGCAAGCTGTGCAACCTGCATTCAATTTGAGTCCTCAGATAAATGGTACAAAATCTGAGGTATTTTTACCAGAGCCACTGCTTAAGTTGTAAAATCTGTGGACATAAATAAGCAGCCATTGCTTTATGATGCAAATTCTGCAAAAATGATTTCAGCCTCTGAGCTACCGGACTTAAAATATGAGGTATTTACGCTAGAGCCATGTTTTCAAAAAGCAAAATCTGTGGAGTTAAAACCAGAACCATATCCTCAAGGTGTGAAATCCGTGGAGTTAAACCAGAACCATATCCTCAAGGTGTGAAATCTGTGGAGTTAAAACCAGAACCATATCCTCAAGGTGTGAAATCCGTGGAGTTAAAACCAGAACCATATCCTCAAGGTGTGAAATCCGGGAGTTAAAACCAGAACCATATCCTCAAGGTGTGAAATCTGTGGAGTTAAAACCAGAACCATATCCTCAAGGTGTGAAATCCGTGGAGTTAAAACCAGAACCATATCCTCAAGATGTGAAATCCGTGGAGTTAAAACCAGAACCATATCCTCAAGGTGTGAATTCTGAGGAGGTGCATTCACACCTCAGGCAGCATAATGTAAGATCTATGCTATTTGTATCAGAGCCACTTTCTCGAGATGTGAAATCTGTGAAGCCAACTCTATGGCCACAACCTCAAAGTGTAAATTCTTTGACATCATGCTTTAGGTCACAATGCATTAAATCTGTGGCCTTTGCACCGAAGCTATGTTTTCAAGATGTAAAACCTATGGAGCTGACGCCAGGGGCCCAACAGCAAGGTATAAATATCATGGAGTTGACTTCAGGATGGCAAGATGTGAAATCAATGGTGTTGGCACCAGAGCCAACTAGGAAGTTCTCATCAGGACCAATGTTGGCTAGTGTCAGATTTTCAAATTTGTCTCCAGAATCACAGCATCAAGCCATGAAATCTTTGGAGTTTACTCTAGAGTCAAAGTTGCAAAGTGTAAAACATGTGAAATTGTCTTCGGTGTCTCTGCAGCAAGAAAAAGTTGTTCAGCCTGAGAAAGCGACCCCTGGACCACCATTTCAAGTTGTAAAGTCTAGGACAACGCCAAGGCCCACCCCTCAAGTGGTAGATATATTGAGTTGACTCCAAAACTGCAAGATGTGCAACCTTGCACACAAAGGAAGGCTAAAATTCATACTCAAGCTTTCAGGAGTTCTACTTCCACAGCAGATTTGCAGTCTGGGTCCTCCCAGTCCCCTGCTCCTGTACTAATCGACATCAGAGGAAGACAACACAGCAGCCCTGACCTGGAAGAAAAGACAATAATTAGAGCATGTAGACACTATGAATCCATTCAGGTTCACACCCTATCGGAGAGTGACTCTGAAATCACTCAGAATGAGAAACGGGCTAAGTGAGAACCAAAAAGACCTCTGGTTCAAAATATCCAATGAAGAGAATGACCAAGGGCCTTAGAAAACACAGAAAGTTCTACACAAGCAGTAGAACCACAAAAGAGAGACCCTCTAGGGAATTACAAGCCCATTTAAGAAGGAAGACGATTGGAGCAGCTCAGACAAGTACTGCCTTCTTAAAAAGACAACCTAAGAAACCTTCCCAACCCAAGTTCATGCAACTGCTTTTTCAGGGCCTACAGCGGGCATTCCAAACAGCTACAGAGTTATAGCTTTTGCTGGGCAGAAGCCTGTGGACAGGACAATCCCAGACAATGTGTTGGGCAAGCAAAAAACATTATCTGAAACAAAATGGCAGGGACTATTGCATACCCAGAAATCACAAAAGAGACAGGAGGTCAGCTGACAAGCCAAAGTCAGCAGGCTCTCAAACCATTAAGCAGGAGGACATATGGGGGAAGGAAGAGACCAGTGCAGATCAGCTCAACAGCCAAGAAGAGCTCACCGTTTCAACCCAGACCTCTTCAACTTCCCAAGCCCACAGGTTCCCAAAGTGACATCACTTTCCAAGCTGCCTCAGTGGAGCAGCCTTTGGGAACTGTCCAAAAGGACAGGAGTAGCAGATCAAAGAAAATGAAATCTTAGCCAGGAGTCTAAGAACTTGCCCACACCAGGAACCAGAGTTCAGGTCCCAAGGAAGAATGCTACATTGTTCCCCTGTGAAGAGAACCTGGCACCGTCCCCTTAAAGAGAAACTCACACACGAGGAGCAAAACCACCCAGCTTCTATAGGGACAGAACCCCACACAGTCCGGAGAGAACCGGTCATAACCGCTGTGGAGAAACATCGTAGTCCCTCCAAGAGGAGCCACTGCGGTCCCTCGGAGAGGAGCCGTCACAGTCCTTCAGATAGAAGATTTCGCAGTCCATCTCAAAGAAATCACACAGTCCCATGGAGAGAAGTCTTCACCGTGCTGCCCTTTCCAGCCTTTTTTCCTGTTCAGCCATTGCCTCCCGTTTCTTGCACCCCCAGCATGGAAAGGCTTCCATGTCTCTCTACAGGGGGTGGCATGTGAGATTCATTCTCTAATAAAGTGGCAATAACTGATCTCCCTGTGCATCTAGACTGAGGCCACTGGGTGGGTGGGTAGGGAAGGCAGGGTGGTGGGACACGAGGAGTTGTGCAAAGGCTCGGAATGAGAGCAGGGTTTTAAGGCCGGGCAGAGGCTCCAAGCTCCGCCCCTTCATTTCAGACCCCATCCACAGGTTCCCAGGTTCTTTGTCACAATCCCCAGTGAGGCCGAGTCTCAGGAATCAAAGGGTTACTCATCACGTGACTTGCTCCAGCTGCAGCCCCCTCGGAAGCTGCCAGGCAGAAGTGGACTTTCAGAAGAGGGCTAGGTGGGGGCCGAGCCCACATCTGGGATAGGCGAGGAGAGCGGAAGTGGCGTTGGTCTGGCCAGAGTCCTTTGGTGAAATTGTTAGGCGTGGAGAGGGAGCAATGTCTTCCAGACTAGGTGCTGTACCCCTGAGTTTCTTGGTTTGACCGTCATGCTTTAGAGGTAGCGCTGTTGAGCCCAGAACACGCGGTCTCTCGCTTTTGTCCCATGCGCAGAGTTGGTTTTATCAGAGGCTATCGTAGGCCCCACCCTTCTAGATCAGATCACCTGTCCCCTTTTTCTTTACCCACGTTCTGCTGCCTGTTCCCCACCTCCTTGGATTTAATTCCTCGCCACATTGCCATTAGTTTCTATTTCTTTACATCCCCAGTGTCTCTCATATTCGTTGTCTTTTCTTTTGGCCTCTTTTTTAGAGCCTCGGACAGGGCTTTGAGAATGGGGAGGACAAAGGCTCTCGTATTGTTACCCGCCTTTGCACTACTGGAAGATAGGACAGCGCAGTTTTCCTAAAAAGTGTTGCCTTCTTCAGTTTGAGGTGGTTTCCCCGGGAGAGTTTCATTTCTTCTGGGCATAGGGGAATTCGTCTTTTTGTGGTCGAGGTTCAGAGGTCCCTGGCACTCACTCATCTGCTTGTGATTTGCTAGACTTCGGGACCCACAACCTTTAAACAGCAGAGGAGCACGAGGAGCTAAAAAGTACGTGAGGTTTTCTCAGGTCCTTTTATGATTGTGTCGCCAGAGCTGTCCAGTAGAACTTCTTCCTGTGATGAAAATGTTCTGTATCTGCATTGTCCAGTAACATAGCCAGTAGCCCTGTGTGGATTTTGAGCCATTGAAATGTGGCTAGTGCAACTGAGGGACTGAATTTTAAATTTTATTTGCTAAGTAAGAGGTTTTTCTAAGGTTCTTTCATGATTGTGTGGTCAGTGCTGCCCAGTAGAACTTGTGACAAAAATGTTCTGTATCTGCACTGTTTAGTATTGTAGCCACTAGCCCCTTATGGCTTTTGAGCTCTAGAAGTGTGGCTAGTGTGACTGAGGGATTGAATTTTAAATTTTATTGTATTTTAACTAAATAGCCACCTGTAACTAGTGACTACTGGATTAAACAGTGTACGTATAAGCCTAGTGTGTGGGAGAGAAACCTAGCTTGCAAAAAAAGAGTACAAATTATAATAAAAATGGAACCAATGACTTAGTGGTAATCCTGTATTTCTCCAGACATCACATTCGTGCACATAAATACATTGATTTACTTGGGATGGATGATAAAAATGGCTGGAAGAAATTCTTGTATTTTTAAACTACTTGGCTGTAAGACTGGTTTATTATTTAGAACACTGAAGGTACTTAGTGTAGGTTTATTCTTACAAGGTTTATTGCCAAGTTTAAAATGAGGAAACTGAGGCCAGCATAAGAAAATTAAATACCAATTTATTTAACTCCCAGGCAAGGTTCCATGGTCCCAGGGAAAGGGGCCAGGGAAGTTGCGCCTGACTTCTCTCAGGTGTGGGGTTTTATAGGGAGGGAAGGCATTCTGATTGGCTGTGGAGAAACAAGACATGGATGGGGCAAGCAGTTATTAGTAGGTAGGCGGGATTTCCGGTGAGCGGCTGGATGGGGCAAAATGCTATGGGCAGGTTTCGGCAGGGCTTCTTTTAAATTTTGGTGGGGTTTTCCAATGGCTGGCTAGGTGCTGAGTGCAGAGTTTAGTGTTGAGTGCAGACTCTGGTGTGGAGTGCAGAGATGGGCATTGGTGCCAAGTGCAGAGTCTGGTGTGGAGTGCAGAGGTGGGCATGTGTTGAGTGCAGATTCTGGTGACGTAATTTTCAGGCATGGAGAGGGATGGGCATGCCCGAGCTCCGGGTAAGGCAACCGCCTTACATTCCAACCCTTTTGATGATACAGGACGCCGCTTCTTTCTGCTACCTCCTGCTGAATAGGGCAGAGTGGGGGAAAGGGGTCAGTTGGCTGGTGCCTCAGTTGCGAGTTGGACACAGAGGTGAAGTAGCATCTGGTTTATGGCCACCCTGGAAATTTCCATTATGCAGGCCTGTAAAAATCTGAGGAAAAATGGGGCTAGCATTAGTAGAAGACACACAACAATAACGGGGGTGATAATGGGAGCTAGCCAGGTAAGCATGGGGGATTGCCGCCAGTTGAGAGACGAGGCTGGTGCACTCTGCTTCCTGCGGAGGTTCTCTTGGAGATGATAGAGAGTGTTGACATTTTCTTCCACAAGGCCTATTTCATTGATGTAATAGCAGCACTGTGTCCTAGAGAAACAGACAGGTACCTCATTTTTCTGCCATTAGTAGGTCCAGGGCCTGTCGGTTCTGGAGAGTTACCTGAGCCAGTGATGTGATTTGTAGCTGGAGGGAGGCTAAAGAGGCGGTTGACGCTTCAGTAGCCGCACGGAGCTTGTCTTCCAGTTGAGCGGCTGAAGTGATGCAAACTTTGGGGTTTGCAATTACATCTGTAAAAATGAAGCAGCCCCAGTTGACGACCCAGGTGCAGTGCTTTGGGTGGGGGTTTCTGGACGTAGATTGTATACCTGCCTTAACTTTATTGTTTCCGAACCAAATGATTCCGAGTCTACTTTGCAGTCCAGGCTGGACATTGACTCCCTGACACATAGCTAAGCTTTACTTTGAGTCTACCAAATTCTGCTTTATTAAACTGCATCTTGGCTCTACTAAAGGTTTACAATCTTCTAGTATGTGTTATTAAGTAGACGTACATATTACATATTCATAGAGTTCCATTTGGAGCATCTATAAACTTCTTTTTAACAATTAAAAAATGGTATTTGTGAAGTTAGTGACAGTTAAGCAAATCAAATGGTTTCTTTGTCTCTATGTGAAACTTGTCTGGGATTAGAGTTTTTTCAGTTCTAGTAACCCCCAAACAGTTATTTGGGTGGTAAAGCTTATTGCCCAGAAAGCTGATTTTTTTTTTTTTTTTTTTTTTTTTTTTTTTGAGACTGAGTCTCACTCTGTCACCCAGGCTGGAGTGCAGTGGTGCAATCTTGGCTCACTGCAACCTCTGCCTCCCAGATTCAAGTTATTCTCCTGCTTCAGCCTCCCCAGTAGCTGGGATTACAAGTGCCTGTCACATGCCCAGCTAATTTTTGTATTTTTAGAAGAGATGGGGTTACACCATGTTGGCCAGCCTGGTCTCGAATTCCTGACCTCAAGTGATCCACCGGCCTCAGCCTCCCAAAGTGCTGGGATTACAGGCATGAAGCACTGCACCCAGTCTGATTTTTTAAAAGTCAAATAAAAACATTATGTCAATGTTCCATTATCAAAAAATAGGATATTTGATCTCTTCAGTAGATCTTGTTGATTAGTTACTATAACTTTATTTCCATACATTATACAGCAATTATTTTTAGAATATTCTTAGGATCTATGAGTTAATTCACTTTTCAGAACTAACTACTTAGCAATATTATCCTGCTTCATGCTTGGTGGCGAATTCTCCAGTGTTATATTCAGCTCCAAGAATGATATTTGAACATGTTCACACCTATCGGGTCTTGGACCCAATAGCAAGGTAGGTGTGAATGGCGTTCAAGTATCAGCCTCCCTTTCCTGAATGACCACTTCACATCTTTGAGTTTCAATGCTGTCTTGTTTCTCCTAAGGTATACACTATTCATGCACATTAATCCTAACTAAGAAGATGAAGGTACCATAAAATTCCTTTTTTTTAGATCTAATTTTGGAGATTATATTCTCTATGATGGACACTTTGGTTATTTTAAATCTCTCGCTATTGAAAGCACGCTGCAATGAACGCTTTCCTTGCACCCTCCTGAGATTAAAAGATCATCTATTCACTTAGTATTAA